AACTTTCTCCTTGTCATCTTAAAAATGTTATAAAATTTGAGTGAAAACTAAATGTAAATCCTAATGTTAAATTTTCTATCTAAAATCTTCACAGGCGTCGCTAGCCTTCACAATCTCAGGGGGCTCAACTAAAAATTTTTATGGAGGGCTTCGTTCCCTATACCTTACAATTGTGGGCCTTCGGCCCGATTTTACCCGGCCTTCGGCCTGGTTTTATATTAATATATTATACTTTTTTTAAAATTTGTTTACTCTGAACAATTATTCTGATTTTCATATTTTGTCATTTATTATATTATGCATACGGAATAAACTGGCATATAAAAAAATCACATAATGCAATAATATATTTCTTATCAACTTACATTGACAAAAAGTTATCAAAAACTAGTATAATTCTCTGTAACCATTTTAGGCAATGTTTTATAGAATGGACTAATAAGGAAAAATTTATAGGCCTAAACCAAATCAACAATTTTTGAAGGAGAGAGTATAAACGACCAATCCAAATCATAAATATGATGGTTAGAGCTTCCTCTTAGATGACATGATGGAAGCTAAGTAATCGAGAAAATTATTGTGAGATATTAAATTTTTTAAAAGATTATCTTCCATTTTAAATGATATATATACACAGTTGACCATTGTTATTTACCTAAAATATGCAATTATATGCTCTCCCGTTATAGTATTAATCTTAAATTACATAGCAACACAAATAATAGATGCTGGTTAATTTGCAGTAATAGCCATGACACTCACGATGTAAACTAATATTAGAATTTATTATGTTGGATAAATTGATAAAATAAAAATACTAAATATCTTTGGAAAAAATAATTATGCAAATATATTAAAGCCTGGAGTTATTTACACGGCAATGCCATATTAGAAATGAAATATTTTCTAACTATAAAATAAGGACCAGAATGATATGATGAAACAATTAAGATTTTATATATTGTCGCACCACCTTTGTATATTATATCTTAAAATAATAGTAGTTTGTAATAATATCAAAAATATACTTGTATTAAAAATTTAACTAAAGACTGTTTTTCGAAAAAAAAATAAATAGCTTTCCTTAAAACACGTAAAAAAAGAGAAGAAAAGATATCATATTTATTACATCTAATGCAGGATGAATAATAAAATGTTTAATTTATAAAATTATTTATAACTAAATAGATGGCGTTAAATACTTGAATGTAATTTGTTATTATTATTTATTATCAAAACCATTTATTAGTAAAATTTAATATAATATTAACTGTAATATATTATATAACTGTCAAATACGTCTACAAAAGTGGCTTTCTATCTAATATTTTATAAACAACTGTTTATAGTAGAGGATTATAAACTATATGTTTACTTACTTTTTATAAAGAAATCTAGTATACTTATTTGGACCTTGAAAATATTCTTAAGGTATGATAATAAAATTTCAAAATAAATATACAGTTGATTAGTAATTTTGAACTCGGCTAATTACAATATTAAATTTGTTAATTTTCAAATAATATATGATTATATTTATTTAATTAGGGTTAAATAATAATTTAAATAATAAAAGTCAATTAAACTTCAACTGACAAAGCTAAATTAATATTTAGTGAGTTATCGATATTATATTTTTAATACAGAATTCGATTGCGAGCTGACACAGTGAAAATATAATTTATATGTATTAATCTAATCTAATAATTAAAATAATATTCATTTAAATAAAAATTTGAATAAGTCTTATTAATTTCTAAATAATAAAATTATATATAAATATTACTTAATAGAATTATAAAAGAAATTATTTTCAGTGGGCAATCAAAAAAATTTATTTTTAGTTCAAGGGGATATTACGGAAAAAAAAAATTTTGCTTCAGGGGGCTACTCAAATTTTTAAGGGGGCTCGAGCCCCTGTGCGCCCCCCCCCCCAGCGACGCCACTCAATATCTTGCAAGACCAATTAGAAATTGGGTTTCGATTGAAATTTGATTTCGGGAAAGAGAAAAAAAAAATATTTATTTTTTTTGCAAAAGACCAGATTAGGTTTACAACTTAGATTTTAGTTTTAAATTATTTGATCCCTTCATATAAGTATTAGTTTTATTTGACCATCCTTGCCCAAAGTGAGTGTTCAAAGTATCTTGTTTTTAAAGCTCACAACTGGCTCATTTAAAACAAAATTCTAAAGTATTCAAACAATGAGTATTCATAATTTAGCCACTTATAAAAATTTATACGAAAACTTATCATACATAATAAATCTTTCTATAAATATTTCATTTTTTTTTCCATTTCATATGCTTCTATTTCATCCCATTCCATTTTATTTCGTTTCTTTTTAATTCCATTTCTTCCCATTTCAATCCTCCATATGATTCCATTTTACATCGTTTCCATTTCAATTTCATGTAAACGATTTCGTACGTAATAAACAAATATTTATAAAACATCTGTAAAGTCTCAAATTCTATCTTTTTAATATTTTTTTAAAAATAATAAAAAATTACCGAAATTCCCCCTTCTACATAAAATATCAATAATTTTATTATAGGTAAATTTTGTTGTATAGAAAGAAAGAAAGAAAGAAAGAAAGAAAGAAAGAAAGAAAGAAAGAAAGAAAGAAAGAAAGAAAGAAAGAAAGAAAGAAAGAAAGAAAGAAAGAAAGAAAGAAAGAAAGAAATATCATTTTTAAAAAAATTCATTCGTAAATCACATTATAAAATAATATTGAGTTTAATTTTATTTTTCCTAAAAAAAAAATTTTTTTTTTATTAGGTGGAGAGGGAAATCTAACTTACTTAAATATAAATCGCATTCGACAAGCAAAACAAAGAATTCAACGAAATAAAATCTGTTTATTATTACAGTTAACAAAGATTAAAATCATAAGTTGATTCCAACTGAACCCCTGCCGGACCGGTTCGAAACCCGCAAATCCGGCCCGAAGAGTGGCGGGCGGCCGTAAAATGGTATAATCTTTTAAAAAATTAAACCCTACCCGGGATAGATTGAAAAATAAAAATTGTTCTAATTATATCAATTAATCGGTTTTGGGGAAATGTTTGCGAAAAATTGTATAATGGAATTATTTAAACATAAATGACAGGAATATCACTGGATGCAAACACCACTCACAAATTATTAATTATAACTTTTTAATTAATCTTCATAAATTTTACAAAAGTATAACATAAATTATTTACGTTCTTTTACTAACCAAACCACTATCAAAATATCGATGAATGTAAAAAAGAGTTATTTATTAGTAGAACACGAATTAAAATTATAAATTCCCTCATTTACGATGAACGAACGCATTATTATGATATTTGTTCGGAAAATGAATATGAGTTTGCTTGATAGAATGTCCATTTTAAATAACATTTCAAAGGATGGAAGAAAACAAATGGCAAATTTATTTCGCATAAAAGCAATCAATATATTATTTAGAATTTTTTGAAAAAAATTTTAAGGCCCAACCCGTTTCGAAATTTGAAAAAAGCTTTAGGCCCCCGGCCATCGTTGGACCGGGATAGGTTCGGGCGGGGCCTACTTCTTCTGTAGATCTCTAATTAGAATAGTTATATTTGTATCGGAAATATTTTTTTGAATATATTATTTCAAAAAGGGGGGAGGGAAAAGCTACTATTGAATTCGTTAAGAAATTTATTTTGCCCTTTTCTTACGGTTTTTTTTTTATTCAACCAGGAATTCCTCTGAGTTTATTTATCATGACTTTGTATAAATTTATTTATATTAAAATGGAGATATAATTTGATGAAATATAGCATAAAACCTCTCGCTATAATGGAATGGTTTTTAACGACTAGTCTTTATTTTTTGTGTTCGTTATAGTTGTAAACGAACAAATACTACTGTATACCGGTTTTAACAAAATGTCAAACGACATGTCTTGTAAACGAACAAATACTGTATACCGGTTTTAACAAAATGTCAAATCAGGCCCGTAGTTGAACGCCAACCCTCGGCTCGAACGGTACCTACGCTTCCGCAGACGCTCTTGCCAATAATTATCGCCTTCCCTTTTCCCCCCAAAAAAGGCGGAAAGAGTATTTTATGTTAGTAAAATAGATAAGAGGGATCTTGTATAGAAGAGTAGAAGAAGAAATAAATAATTTTAAAAAAAATTTAGATTTATAACATTTATGGAATATATATAAATAATGTAATTGAATTTAATTGAATTTGATTGGCCAAAAAAATGGGGGCGGAGACGGACGCGGAAGGGACTTATCCGAGGTAGACCACCCTCGGAAAGCGTCCCTGTTAAGTAGCCGAAAGGTTCTGCAAATGGCGAATTTTAACTCGCGTTTATTCGTTAAAAATATTTGTTTAGATGTGCTTAGAAAATCAGTTGAATTGATTTATTTCACTCAATATTATTCTGCTCATTCGGCCCCATGAAGTATTTCGAATTTATCGGTCGGTCAGCTGGTCGTTTTTTTTTTAAAATCTCTTGTATAGTGCCTTTGGAAGGCGTATCGTCTTAAAAATCCACTACTTCCGGTAACTTAAATTTTTTTTAAAACCATTATAACAAAGTATTTGTCTTTTTTTTTACGCTTGAGGTTTCTCTCAAAGGTTATATTTAATTTTTAAAATATGAATTAGCAGGCTACTTCGAACATTATATTTCGACATTTAGTTTTTCAATCTTGATTGTCTCAGATAAAGTATGCCGCATTAATAATTCTGTTAATTTGGATTATTGATGACGACAATATAATATGCTCATTAACGATCAGAAAGGTCCGCCAGTCCACTGGTTCGAACAGGTTTATACTAACCCTAAACTCTAACTTTAAAAATTTTAGATAGAGGCACCCTAGTCTAAGATAGTTCAGGAATGATTGAATATTATATAACTGCAGTCTATTTCACTAACATCTCGTAACACGTCTACAATACCTTTATAAGTTTAATTGGAGGAAAAGGGGGGGAAAAAAAAATAAGGTTTAAATAATTATATAAACTTGTTTTTGCAAATAGTCAATTTTGGAATGATCCTTAAGATGGGAAGATGAATTCTTGGCATGCTGAGGATCGGGTTTTCGTCTAGGTGGAATCGCCGGTGGAATTTTATGATCACCATTCATTATTCTTTATCAACAAAAATGGAGAAAAGTTTATATATATATTAACTAGGCAGTTGATTTTTAATGTAAGACAAAGTTGATTTTTGGGAAGTAGGGTTAGGTTCTTCTTTTACAAACCTTATATAAGCTGTTAAACAGCCTATCAAGTATATGATATATCATAATAATCCTTTCGATTGGAAAAATTAACTTAAACAAAATAATATTTTTAGGTCAAAAATCACCTATAATATTATTAAATATAAAACCTGACGCCATTAATACCTAAGCCACCCCTTATATTATATATATATTTCTCAGACACATTCTTTCAAACTACATAAATTTCGAATTAACCCAAGTAAATTATATTTGTTAAGAATGCTAAAGGTTTCAGAAATATTGATGATTTTGAAAAAAAATTATTTTTTATAACTATTTTTAAAAAAACATTATAAACGTTTCCCAAAGATGTCCTGGCAGCAAAGATTCTTGGTTACCGTCAATTTTTCAGGTTATACACATCTTCTGATGTATACTTACTAATTTGATAAGAACAATGACACGATGCCATATTTAGCCATGCTACAGATTTTTAAACGTTACTTTCCGAGTAGTATCGAAAATAAAATCATTTCATATAATATCATTCCCTGATTGTCCTTTAAAATATCGATAAAATTTCGTACACTTTAATAAAAAAAAATCCTTCCCAAAAAAATAAATATTAATCTATAAATTAAGCATAGTTTTTGATTCCATTTATCGACATGATATTTTTTTTTTATTGGTTAAAAACTTTGTTCCCGAAAAGAATGGAGCTTCCTGCACACATTCAAGAAGAACAAAAATCGTTAATCGATTGTCAAATACTTCTTTAGAAAGGTCCGGCAGATTGTTCCCGATCTAACAACCACCATTTGAAGCAATGTTCAAAAACGCTTGTCTCAATAGAAAATTAGGAAGAAAATTTGAAATTCCATATTTATAAAATTAATTTATAAATATTAATTGGTTTTATAGCCTCAAAAATTAGCTTTGCAAAGTATCGAATCTTAAGATAGTAGCGTTAAAAAAGCTAGCCAAAATATTTACTAATCATTAATAAATGTCCATACATTTCTACCTTCTACACTCAAAAACCTCTGGCTTGCGTGATAGGTTTGGCTAAATCTTTTTAAGAAGAGTTGCCTAACCAACACTAATCTCCGAAGAATACAAAGAAATTTTTCTCGTTGGAAGAATATTATAATATCCGATTGTATCCCATTTCATATATTTTTATTTTCCGATAAATTTTTGATTGGAAAAAGTTTCAAAATAATATTTAAACTTTCCCATTCTCATCCTAAAAGGAATGGGAGAACCGATATTTTGCCGGGCGCTAGTAAATAACTTCAGAACTAATTCTACGTCCTATTTTTTCCTAAAAAAATTTATTCATTATTTTATATAATTTTAAAAAAAAATCAATTTTTCGAAAATTTTTTTTTGATTAAATAATAATATAACAAAATAAAAACGAAATTTATCTAGTGGTATTAAACCGCTCGTTTTGAGCCTATTTTTTAAAAAATTCAATATTTTAGCCAGAAAGATATTGCCTAAGTCTCAAGATTTATTTAATATATGTCTAGCAGAGTTGTTAAAGGATACTTTTTAAATGCATCTAGATACAGATAATCTAGATACCGATATTTTATTCAAAAATCTATCTAGATACAGATACCACATTTTTAGAGCTAGATACAGGATCTAGCTCTGATGTCTAGATCTGTGTTCCTTCTATGAGCAAAATCTTCAGGCTACTGTAATATTTTCTGGATGAAGTATTGAGAGTTAGAGCCGTTTAAACAATATCTAAGTTTATCTTTTACTTCTCTATAAGCTTAGTTCATATATAAATTAAATTTTTTTTTTTTGATTATTCGATCCGACATGATCCGGTTATTTTTGGTCCGCTCCGGGCATAATTTTAAAAAAAATTAAAAATACGGGCCATGAATCTTGGCCGGGTTTAGCGCCCCGGCTTGCAATTAACATGTTCAAAGTGATTCGAGTTTTTTTTTTTAACCTAAATTCGCAATTATCTACAACACATTAAATACGTGGTAAATTAATTCGGAAAATACAGGGTATTCGAAATTGCTTATTAAATCTAATCTTTTTACGATTTTTATAGATTTATCCATTAAAATATCTGATTTACTTTTCAAACTTTTTAGATAATATTTCCCTGAAATTTTGAAATATTCATAATTCATATCATAGACCTGCAGAAAGATACCGGTTGCAAAAAAAAAATCTGTCCGGTCGGGATTTTTTATATTGTCAGGCCCGGCCCGGATTTAAAATACGGGCCGGCTCATGTACCCGGGCCAAGTTTAGGGCCGGGCCTGCTGGTCTCTAATTTATATATAGATTTTCATTATAATTAGTTTTAAAAAAAATTAGCAAAAGTGTTTCTGGGTTAAAATGAGATTAAATTCGTGGAGTAGGTTGGTTTACTCCTAAAACTCAAAAATATTCCGGAAATATGGTACCAATTTTTTTTTTTAAATTTAAAAAATTACTCCTCTCTTGGTTTGTTATGGAAGGGATTTGCAAAATAACGCTTTATTTTAGAGAAAGAAATAATTACCACTTAATAGCTAGCATAATACCAAAAAAATTTAATATAATTCTCCTCTCCTCTTCTCTTCTCCTCTCCTCTCCACATTGACATACAATCCTAGACTGAACGATGCGTTCATTAAAAGTGTGCATCACTGGAAAAAGCTGGGAATGCCATTTTCATTTACCCCCCCCCCCCCCATGATTATTAAAAATTTTTAAACGAGAGGCCAATTTATTTCTGTGTTCTGTGGCAAACTTTATTAAAAAAAATTGCCCTGATCATCGAGATAATAAGGAAGAAATGTTATCAATTTTAATTAATAGAGAAGAGAAGAGATTTTAACGTGAGAATAAATTACTATACAAGTCAACAAAATGGCGGCTCCAGCTGATTTGCATTCAACGACGCTTTCGAATGCAGTGTCAGTCTAGGTATTGATATATGTCATTGATATACCTGCGGAGGTATACAATTTGCACGGCCCAGCCCAGCCCAGCCCGAGTTTTATATTTTCAGACCGGCCAGAACCTGATTTTACTTAGAACATATGACATTTATTTTTATATTTTTTAGCTAAAAATGGCGATTTAAAATATTCGGTTTTAAAATACACGGCCCGGTCCGGAATGAGTGGTCCGGCCCGGGTATATTTAAAAAAAAAAACTAAAATACCACCGCTCTTAAGGCCAGATCTGATTTTCAGGTCTCTGATATTTTGATATACGAAGATGATGATGATGATGAAGAAACTTAAAACTCATAGTAAGTTGATGTTCCTGCCAAAAACCTATTTTGATGAGTGGAATATGTCGTAACGATGTATAGACAAATTTATGATTCATAAAATATAAGATTTAAATCTTCTATTTTTGGAAGAATAGCGCATTTAAGACTGTGTTCCTAATACCATTATTTTTGTAAGTATATAATAAATAAATAAATTTAAAAAAAAATTAAACTTAAATTAAATTATTTTTTTATAATTTTTTTGTAAAGATTTGATAGTATAGAATAATTTATTTAGAGCTTATAATTTTGGAAAAACATATTATTCCGTTAACTTTAAACACAAAAAAAATTCTATGTACCTATTTAGTAGTTGCAAAGAATCCAGAACAGAAAAGGTTTGTGGACCAAATAACCCCAGACTAAAAGACACTGGGCAAAAATATGACATTTTTTTTTTTAATTTAAAAATAATTAAAACACTTAATGAGAGAATTTATTTTATATAAAATTAAGGTAATTTTTTTGTGAAGATTATTTTTTTAACATATTTTTTCCAACTTTATGAGTTATATATCATCCATTATAAATTAATTATTATCCAGCCAGACTAGTGATCAGCTGAGGTCTAAATGCGATTCATTCAGAGCCATGGCTTTATTCGTGGCGATGCTCTGGATGGTGAATAAGTTAAACAAAATTTGTGTTGATTGAATAAATTAAAATTAAATGGGTAAAAATATAAAACGATATCTTAGGATAATGATCGGGATAATGTTAGTAGTTAATAAAACGTTTTCCAATTACCCAGAAATATAATTGAATTTTAACATATTTTTCCTACTCATGAATCATTATATACTATATAATCCATTATAAATTAATTATTATCCAGACTACTGATCAGCTGAGGTCTAAACGCCTTTCCCATATGGCAGAATTTCTATATTTATGTCAAATTTTTTAATGAAAATGAATCGTCAAAATCTACGTGTCAGTATTTAAATGACATTGATTATTGTATCACTCACAAATAGAGAGACAATTGGGGGGGGGGGTAAGACAGCCATAATATTTTAATCCCCCCCCTCATAAAATATATTAATATAAACACTTATTTACCTGTTTATATGTTTGATATAAGATAAATTTCATAATCAAAGGCTCGTAAAAAAAATTTGACCAATTTGTAAGGAGGAAGAATATAGTTTTGTTTTTTTTTAAAGTAGAAGGTGTTTTTTATATTTCTATTTTAAAATTATATATGGATATTGATTTTTAATACACGTTTTTGAAAAAAAACATAAAAAACGAAAAAAACGAAAAAAACAAAGAAAATAAATTATTTCATTTCATTTTGTTGGGAAAAATAAAAATAATTATATACATTTTATATCAAAATTAAGGATATTATAATATGTTTTCTATATAAAAAAATAAATAAATTTCAACAAAATCGATATTGTTAATGGCGAAAGTGGAGAGAATTTATATTATATAAAATTAAAACTATTACATTTTGAAAATTTTTTATAATCAAAATGTCGTGTTATGAGAGATAGTCTATCTAATATGTAATATATATATATATGATATTGTTTCATTAAATATTTAATAATGTCAAAATGTTCCAATTATCATTTTTTTAATATTTTTTTTTTGTAAAAGTAATAAATATTAGTAAATTATCGATTTTATTATTATTTTTTACCTTTGCCGAAATTTATCTATCCGTCAAGCTATCATTTGTCTGAATTAACTAATGTAATCCATGAATTTACGATTTTTTTTGTTTTTTATAGTTGTTTTTTTAAATTTTTTATTGAATAATTATTATATTGTCTTTACAAAAAAAAATTAAAGAAAAAAACTAATTTAAAATTTCTTTTAATATAAATATATATATAAATAAATAATAAATATAAATTTTTTTTCTTTCAAATTATTGATTATATTTTGGTAACACGACATCGCCTCATTAATAAAGGCGATTAAGCGAAACGCGTCTAAAAACGGTTTTTTTATTAAATATATTTTTGAAAAAAACTTGTTTTTTATTTTTTTTGGCCAATCATATTATCAAGGTATAAAGGATCAACATATAATTAAAAAGATCTCTATATGAAAACATATAATTAAAAAGATCTCTATATGAATCATACAAAAAAAAAATTTTTTTTTGTCCCCTATAGTTATCACAAAAAAAAAAGGAGAGAAATTGAGTCATCAGCTGTGACATATAATAATACCTAGACTGATGACGCATTCATTAAAAGTGTTCGTCAATAAAAAAACAGCTGGGGACGCCATTTTGGTTACCCATATGATTATTTAAAAATTTATGTCTTGACCCGAACTTTATTAAAGAATTGGCCCGATCAATCGAGAAGATAAGGAAGCGAGTTATCGGGTTACCACCAAGATGGCGGGTACAGCTGATTTGCATTCAACGAGTTCCTTAAAATTCTATCAGATGATTGGGTAAAGACGAGTTGGACATTTAGAGGCATTCCTGCGAAATCTCGATGATATATTTTTGATTAATTATTCTTCAAAAATTTAATATAAAAGGGATGGGGAATACTTTTTTTTTAATTTTAAGAATCAGTCTATAACTCAATCTATAAATGTGATAAAATGCATTATTTATTTTTTTGACGTGGGGTGACAGGAAAACGTCAGTCAAAAATTTTTTAAATTTTCTAAAAAGGTGAAGTTTATTTAAAATTTATATTAACCATTTCAAATAGACTAATAGTTAGATGCAGGGGGCGTATGCAGGAATTTGCTGAGGGGGATTGGGGTGGGGAGTTTCAGTAATTTATTAGGTATTAGCAACTCTAAGTGACTATCTATAAAATAAATGTTTCGAAGAAGAACTTTGCAAAAAAATAGATTTAAATAAAGCGTTTAAGATTTGATATATAAATTTAAATTAAATTAAATTTTTTTTGGGACTAAATATCTTACTTTAGTTTAAATACAAACATTTATATTTACACTATGGAAATAAAAATATATTTTCGAAAAAAAAACACGAATAAGGATATATTAAAAATTAAATATAAAAAATATATTTGTATAAAATCTATGAAGAAAAACATAAAATATTTTTAAAAAAAGGTACATATCACCCTGGAGAAGAGTGAACGCTTAAAAAATTAGAATGCTAAGGTAAAATCCTTCATTGGGATCCCATCGGATCTGTCTCATATTTTCCCCTATGGTTCGAGGGCCTCACTTCCAAACAAGCATTAGGTATTTGTAACGATTGGTATGAACACACTGTTGGTTAGGCCAGCGTATTTGTTTTTTAAGGATTTCTGCCCTTTTGATGGCAGAAAATGAGAGGTTGAACTTTCCTGCAATATCGACCACAAGTATAGTTCCCAAGTAAGCGGGAAACCAGTTCAAAATTCGAAAATTCAGAGAATATGACTTACGATACAACATATAAAAATGATTGTTAATAAATAAATAAAAATTTTGTAAAAAAAAATATGTATATAAATTTTTGAAAGAGAAATGGGATGATCAATATAAACAGTAAATCAACAAACAATGTTCGACCAACGACGTTTCAAATAAACAGATGTTCAATAAAGGATTCCACAAACGATAATCAGATGGTCAAACAAACAATCTCAAGATATACGAACAAATGACTAATGGAGCAATTGAGAAACAAAATGACCGGAAGTGAAGGTAAGAAACTGAGGAAAGAAGACAAATAGAAAAAAATAGAGGGAAATGTTAATATATAAATTTTGAATAATAAAACTTTTACATTTTTCATTTTTTAAATTAAATGACCTTTTCGAATTCTTTCTTATACTTTTTATATATATAAGAAGGAAGACCTTGGTCGAAATTCTTTTTTTTTATATAACCTTTTAAAAAGACTTATTATTTTAACATGTAAAAATGTAAATTTAAAATGTATATAAGAGTACAAAATGTTAAATATTTTAGTGTTAAAAGGGTTAATAAAAAATAAAATAAAAATTTAATTGTTTTAGTTGCGCCTTCCATTAAATTATTAATAACAAAAAAATATTAATTTTTTTTCCCCTCAATGTTTATTTCTTTACTAGTAAATAGCCCGTCAAAAATGACAGGGAATTAAAATTTTCTTCTTACTTTTATGCATGTTACCTGTTATTTGAAAATAATATCCAATTTTTATTCTTCTTACCCCCTCATCCCTTCAGGCCAGGCCAGGTTTAATCCATTAAAACTAAGTGCTATGGTTTGAGTAAAAATAAATTTAAAGCATTTACTTGATAATAACAATATTATTTGTTAAATATTACTGATTACTTATACCTCATATTTAATATTAAAAAAAATTCCCAGGCATAGTCCAAAGCCATATTAATTATGAAAAATTCTTCCAAGCCCAATGAAAGATCATAATAATTTTGGTAGTTAAGAACTGAAATAAAATATTCAAATAATCATAATGAATTTAAAAATACAATCAAAATTTAGATTTTCATGGGCCTTGGTTTTTTAATCAGGTCAAGCCCAGGCCTGCAAAAAAATTTGTTTTGGGCCAATGTCTGACCTATAATTTTAAAAAAATTCTCAAGCATCCAAGCTCATAATAATTTTGAAAAATTTTCCCCAAGCCCAGCCCAATATAATTTATAAAATATTTTCCAAGCCCAGCCCAACCCATAATAATTTTATAAAAAAATTTTCTCAAACTTGGCCAACCGATAGTAATTTAAATTTTTTTTCCAAGCCTGGAGATAGGTAAATTGCTAAAAGCCATATCTATTTTTTTAGTCTATTTTAACCCAGCTCACCCCAACCAAGGCCAACCCATTAAGACTAAGAGTGAATACTATTTTTTTGAATATAAATATATTTAAATTAGATTTTACCTGAGGGCCTTATAAATATTCTTTGTTAAATATTACACCTATGCTTAATATTAAAAAAATTCCCAAGCCAGGTCCTTGCACTTGGTTTTCATAAACCTGCAAAAGACCATAATAATTTTGATAGTTGAGGACTGAAATAATATATAAAAAGTCACAATGCATTTAAAAATACTATCAGTGCATAGGCCTTGGTTGATCAGGCCTTGCCATGCCTGCAAAAAAATATTCAGACCAATCTATAACCCATATTTAAAATTCAAAAATCTTGAAGCACCTCTATTTTAAATTTTATCCAATATGATTTCCATCACATTTTTAAATTTTGATATTTCTAATACATGCTAACAGTATACATTGCAACAATTTTACCTCTTTTACTCTTAAATTTTAATATTTATATAAAATTTATTAATAAAGTATATTTAATACCATACACACAAACTAAATAATTAGCCTTCAACCCATTGTTTTTTTTATCAGGCCTGACTATGTCTACAAAAAAAATTTCTGACCAATCAATAAAGTATATTTAATACCATACAAACAAACTAAATATATTACCCTTAAACATCTGTATAATTAATATTTTAAATTTAATTATGTTCAAATTGGTACATGCGTGAAACTTTAATATATATATAATTATTATTTTAAATTTATTTATATTCAAGTTGGTGCATACGGTAAAGCATATGCCTTTGAAACGGGAGGCTACTATATAGTCTCCTTAAATTGAAAATACATTAGGGAGATACGAAAACGATCGTGTTATGATTATGAAGATTATACATATTAGATTTAAAAATGAATATATCTCAATACGCAAACAGTAAAAATAAAGAATGTCGATATTATTCAGCTCAAATTCCCGCAATCCTCGAACCTTAGTATACGGCCAGATGGGCTGACCTTAATACCTTGGAGTAATGGAACTCCATTAGCATGGGATTATAATCGCATCGACCGATTCGCTCCATCGTTCAGTAACAACTCATTCGTGTGAGCGGAAAACTCTGAAATTAATAAGTACACTTCTCTAACCAATCGCAATCTCATACCAATCGTATCCGACACAATCGGTTTTTTAGGCAATCATGCCCTAACCTTCTTCAAATCCCTTGGCAAAAAAATCCGCGCCATCACTGGTGGACCCATAGGAAGGCTTCTATCTTAGACAGCGTGTATCTATTATATTCATATTATAAGATTATATGTTTTTTTTGGTAAATTTTTATTATTTTTTTATTACATATTCCTTTAAAAATCTTTACAAGTATAATAATAAAAATTATGTTCGATCATTAATTCCGTTTCTTAAAGCTGATAGGATTTTTCCGTTCACAAATTTTTCATTTAAGGCTTCACTTTAAAGTGGAGACGAATCCGTTGTTTTACATCCGTTTCCGTCAAAAGTCAATCTCATTTAAAAATGATATAATATATATATATATATTGATTTTCATTTTTTAAAAAATTATAAGTAAGGTTATAACTCTCTGTAAAATTTGCCGCATCAAAAAAGTTAAAATGTTTCGACTTCGAAATTCGCCGGATCCATTTTTAAGGCGGAAGGTATCGGAACGGAAGCACTATTAACATATATATCATTTTCAATGAAATTGACCTTTGACAGAACGGATGTAAAAAATGGATCCGTTTCCAATTTGAATGCGGCCTAAGCTATAATCGGCGTTTGAGAATATAATATTGCTCAAAATTTGGCGCAATGTATCCTTAGGGGGAAAAAAAGTACCCATTTGTTTTCACGAGCTAAAAATCGATATAAATCATTATTTTGTTCTATAGATATATGTAAAGCAAACGAAATCCTGAAATAATCCATCTAATTTAGATATCTTATATATATATTAAAATTAGATTATTATTAATTCAAGACTTCCTCGAATTCGAATTTATTATCGAGCTTCGTAATACTTAGAGATTTTCCCATTTATTATTTTGCGAATTCACACTTTTTTCTAAATATCGAAATGATTTGCTTTATTGAATTTTCTTAACTTCATTTTTTAAAACGATCGCGAATAGATTTTGTATTACAACCGAGCCATGAAAGTTATTGATAACTCGATCTTTCAAAAATTTCTCCAGATAGAATTCGGATTACATTTTTTTTTTAACCGCGTTGTTTAAGGTCGTCCAATACATTAATAACTTATAGGCATAAATAAGTTTTGTCCTTCTGCCAATATATTTTCAAAATATTATTTTTAATATTGAATTGGGGGTTTTTTTTTGAAATAAAAAATAATATTTAACAGAAAATTTTTTTTTATCAAGTCTTTCAAGAGCTTTGTTGGAACAATTCGTATAAGTTCGGACCATTCAATAGCTTGAGAAGCCACAATTCCAATATCTATTTTTTCCGCCGCTCCTTGTGCCGAAATTCACACGCGTTATCGGCACAAGGAGCTGTTCATTTATAGTGAAAGCTCACGCAATATCATTCGATTTCTCCGAGTCCGATGAAAATATTTCTAGAAGTTTACTTAAAACATCTCTCTTTCTTCGTTAAAATAAAGCAGAATTATTTGGGAATCTTAAAATCCCTCTAAGATTTGTTGCATAGTTTTAGGGATCCGGGATATTTAACGTTATTTTTGAAGGCTTTTGTTCTTCCACATTTTATGCCTTTGGGCTATCTTTGAATGGAAAGGAGTATAGGCAATAAGTTTGTTTATCGCAATCTGTAGACAAATAACTAAGCCAATGTTTTATCGCGCGATAGATGAATGTCGTCGCTTCGGCTATTTTTGTATTATCATCAGACAAATCATTGTTTTTTGAAGTATGGTTGTGGATATTATTTTATTGATTCCTCATTTCTTAAATTGGTAATAATATTATTTTATACATCACTCAGCGGCTGATATTTTGTACTTGAAAATGGGACGGAGGGTATTGGTCACCATGATCAAACGAAAATTAGAATAGAATAATTGATATATATATAGAGCTGGGAGTGGGAAGAGATATATATGTATTTTTGCATTTTTGAAAGATTTGATGGCGAAAGTATCATACTGGCATTAGAAGAAGATTATATACACTAAGCCTCAATAGGGTGGACGTGTTGTAATATTTTAAATGATTATTTATAATTGTATTAAAATGATAAAATTAATTATTATAATATATATATATTATGAACCTGTTGTTAGCCATGTATTTTGTTGATTTTTGTGAAAAGAAATACAGTGGCAACAAAGGAAAAGGATTTTTATTTAATTAATTGGTTTTTGTAAGAAGATTTAATTTTTGGAAAAATTATTGAAGATACGAGAAAAATATTTAATCAATAAAGAGACCAAGATCAAGAAAATATTTAGTTAACAAAGAATATACCAAGAAAACATTTAATTAATCAAGGTAAGGAAATTTTCAATTTAATTTATTTTCAGTTTAATTTTCATATGAAATAACTTTTTATTAATTAATTTATTTTCAATTTAATTCTAATTTTCATATTAATTAACTATCATTTTAATTTCAAATTGCATTTGTATGCTACATTCTTTATCTTCCCTCATCCATGAATAAATAGAATTCCAGTTTATTTTAATATAGTGATTAACGATTTTTTTTTATGGGGGGGGGGGGGTATGTTTAAGTCTTTTCCACAAGTGCGATCTATTCATATAAAATGCTAAAAATTACTTATTTTACCAAAGACAAATGAACTAAATTACCTCTCAATGTTTGATTTTTTGGAACATTCGGACAAATCGTATAATAAATAATTTTTTTTGGAAAATTTTGATATATAAAAGCGTTTATTTGTACTAATTAATAAATGAAAAAATTTTTATATCTTAGATAGGTTAAAAAGTAACTCGGATAGTAACTAATTACTTTAATAGCTAATAAATAATACAAATATTTGTTTAGTGTTGTTAAACGGCTCGTATTGAGCCGATTTTTAAACACGACTAACTAGATATTTTAGCCAGAAAAAATATTTCTTAGGCCCTCGAGATTTCGATGATATATGCTTAGACATTCGTTCCTTCTATGAACAAAATCTTCACTGAGTTAGCACTTTTTAAAGTTCGGCGCAAAATGAGAGCTTTAACAACACTAATTTTATTTAACAATCCAAAAAAAAATATTTAAGTTATTTTTATTAAATTTCTGTGGACAAATCATTAATTACATATGAAGAAGAGGTAAAAATAATACAGCGTCTAAGTGCCCAAAAGCTACATTTTAGTCAAAAGTGTCAATCCACTTTTCATGAAATTCATGATTATTTTTTGAAACAAAAGGGCGCAAATTCATTAAACATTCAATTCAAAGTGCAATGATAATATAGCTAGGGCCTTAAAATCTGCTGGCGTTCCGTCAACCCCGAGCTCACTAGATAGTTTCGATGGTAAACGGCCTGCCTGATGGTTCTACTACGATCCCTTGGAAAAATTCCTAACGTATGATGGCCCATGTATTGATCATCTTGCCCACTTCCAATATAAATAAGGATGTACTCATAGACACTGAGGCGACTCGATAAATATTCTCCGTCACTACCTACCAGCTTCCTACCCATAATGGCCATGGCTTTAACATCGTTAGGCTCCCACCTCCTAACACTTTTTAAAGAGTTTTAGCACTGGATCTGAGCTAGAACCAAGGATACCAACAAGGGATACTACCTGGGTCAGAGGTTGTCTATAAACATAATAAAGAGTAATTATCTACGCTCTATGCTACCAATGAACACTAACCCGTGAAAGATCATCTTATGATACGCCTAGTCTACTCAAGCCCGCATTTAACAAATAACATAAGCATTGCCCGGCCCAAAAAATGTTCCACCTGCTAATAGTTTTAGCTAACGAATAATCATGGAAAACTTTTAGTATGATCATTTTAATTTGCCATCTTTGACGAGAAGCGGAAAATAAATACATGTAAACTGCATATTATTTATTAATATTTTTATATACAGTTATTGTGTATTTGCAACACATTTATAATTTACTACTTAATATAATTTAAAATTTAAAAAAAAAATCAAACCATTTAAATTATTTCTTAACGAATAATAATTAAATAACTTAGAAACGTAATTGTCATGTTCTTATAAATTAAACGGACAATGAAAATATCACAAATTCACCGACATGAATCATTAAATTGTTTGTAGTTATAAATAAATAATTTCTTATATTTTTTTGATCCCGACAAATGAAATTATTATAAATCTCCTTAAATCGGAGCCATGATCATATACAAAATAATTTCAATGTAACGTTTCACCGTTTAGAATTACTGACCCCTGAAGGCTATTTTTTTTTGTTTGAATCAAAATATTTCCTGATATCAACTAATGATTGTAATACGAACCTAGACTGGCAATATATTCTTTTTAAAAGTGTTTCAGACATCGAAGACAACGGTTAGTCAATGTCAACAGTCGTAGTAAGACGCCATTGTTAAATGGGGGATTTCAATGAACTGTAAGCACATTTTAACGATTCCAATGAACGAGGCGCACAGATTAGTTAAGTATTAATGTCAATGGTTTTAACATTTGAAATTTGTGGTTCTCTTTTGCGAAATTTGAGGTATTATTATCATATTTTTTTTTAAAGGTCCGATAATCGTCTTAGAAAGAATAATTGACAATAATTATAAATGTATCACCAAAATTTAATTTTTTAATAACACGTTGAATTTTTTTTTTCTTCTTCATTTTATAAAAAAAAAACGTTCTGAGCAACTTTGTCGATGAAGGAACGATCGAAGGAATATTGTCGTAGAATATCAGCCATTTCTGAGTAATCGATACTTCGAAAGTGGGCATCATCTGTCATAAATGAATGTCACATTAATTAGAAAATAAGATTGACACTTAAAAAATAATTTTTAAAAAAAAGTGAAGACATTCTTGTCTCCAAGTTTGATTTTGTTAAAAAACTTTTACTTTTTTGGTAAAGGAAAATAAAATTTATAAATAAGAAAATCTAGGTTTGGCTATCATTTTCAAAATTGGAAGAATGCAAAATCATAATAAAGATAATTGTCGCGATCGTAAACAAAATTAATATCCCAGAATTATATTCAATTTAATTATTAACAACGAAAAACGATTTGGTTTACATTTTATAGCGACGACACTTCATCACTAAGTCACATGATTATATGACACTTTGTCATGATTTGACACCTGAATTTTATTCATTTTGAAAAGTTAAGTTTTTTTTTTGATAACATCCGATAAAATGGGGTGATAAGATGTCGCGTTACTGAGCGATAGTGTCGTTTAGTTGTGATGCTTGTCGCGACGAAAAACCATTCCCAAGACAAATTTATATAAATTTTTATTTTTTTTTAAAGTATACCTTTTACTAAAACGTGACCAGATATTTCGCAAGCTGCTACGTTGATATCAACAGAACATTTGGAAGCTTTTTTATTATAAAAAAAATAAAAATAAGTGACTGACACATCATCATAAAAAGAAAATAAAATTATCCTATAAAAACACATAAAATTCCTTTCTTTACAGAAAAAATATGGTGAAACTTAGAATTTAATGATAAAATTAGACTGTTATATGTTATAAATAAACAAAATTTTATTAAACTGTGAAAATCGAATTGAAAAAAAAAATGGTTTCCAAATTGTTAGAATTAAATTTCTTTAAAATTAGAATCAAATTTCTTTAAAATTAGAATTAAATTTTTCTTTAAAATATGTTATGGAGAAGATAATTTTGTAATCAAAAAAATAAATAAAATATATATCCCTTTTTTTAAGCGAACCGAAATTAGGTTTCCTAGGCCATATATAAATCCTGACACAGTCGTACGCGGCCACCGCGTGATTAGGCGACTCAGGATCCCGCCCCCTAGTTATGAACATGTTATGGGGTATGTCTTCGGATTCGAGATAACAAGTCAAGGAATAAATTTTCCTATATAATTTCATTAACACAAAGAAAAAAGAGTCAGCATAAAACGCGTTTCGATTTGGTAATATTTATGCTAACATTAGTATCTATGCGGTTTCCGTGAAAGATTTTTTAGCAGAGTTGCTTTGCTAAAAGATACTTTATAAATGGATCTAGTAGATTAGTGTTGATAAATGGCACTCGTTTCGGGCACATTTTTAAAAAAAACGGCTTACTCAATATTTCATCCAGAATAATATTACGCAAGCTTGAAGATTTTGCTTGTAGAAGGAACTCAGGTTCAGACATCTATTAGCGAAATCTCGAGGCTTAGGTTATACTTTTTCTGGCTAAAATATCGAGTTAGCCGTTTTTAAAAATCGGCTCAAAAACGTGCCTTTAACAACACTAATCTAGAATACGGATTAAACCACATTTTTGTATCTAGATACTTTTAACAACTCTGTTAATTAAAGTTATGCGTCAGTTTTTTTTTGTGCCTCTTAAACATTTTATTTTAAAAAAAAAACTTGAATTCCAAATCCTTTGAGAATCAACAAAATATAAATATTTGTTCACTTTCTTACAAAAGGAAGAAAAAAGAATTGTAAGTTTACCCCGATACATCCTGGACATCTTCTAAGCGTTTCAGGACAAAGGCGAACCCTAGAATGGGATAATCGAAATCGACAAAATACGAGATTTGACTCGCGTTATTCCCATTTGTATCTGTATCGGTATCGACAAGAGGAACCAATTTCTGCAATAATATTACGCAAACGCATAAAATAATTATCCTATCGGTTAAAACGTAAACGTATATAAGTGGCTAGCGTCTAAAGCTACTCCTTAATTTTAAGATTGTGCGGCAGAAATTAACGCCTTAACCTGGCGGAACTTTCGGGAAGAAGGGACGAGTCCCTAAGATGATTCGATGTTAAATTATAGATGTTAAACATGTGTTCAAGGAAAAATTGCAGCTGCCCGAGCCTGCAAACAAGGTATGTAAAGTAGAGATTGCAAATGGATTCACGCATTTCATTTATGAAAGCATAGTTAACCCACGGTTAAAGACCTGCATGGGCCAATCCGAATCCCATTGAACTCGGGTCGGGTGGATGGACACTTTCTAGAACCCGAACCTTGATTTTAACAATTTTATCTTTTTTTTAAAGAATATGACCAATTTTTATTTTCCGCCTTCCTCCGCGTTTATAGAATCGTTCCCATTGACAAAACCAGCGATTTTTTGAGCGGGAAAAAAGGGGGTGGCGAATTTTCGCTCCTCAAAATTTTACAATACGTTTATTAGTATTTTAATAACTTTAAATAAAAAAAGTTTATAATTTGAGAAACGCGATAAATAAAAATTAATATATATTTTACAAAATTTAATTGAGACTTCGTTACTTTGGGAATAAAATTAGGAATAATAATGAGTTTTAAATATCGTAAATAAAAAATTATAAATTGTACAGGGTAAAAAAAAAAGAAAAATGAATATGAATTGTATTAAAAATAAAATAAGTTTTTTTTAAAAAATAAAAGAAGAAAATAATTGCAAAGATTAATAAAATGAATGCACTGAGGTAAAAAAAAAAAGATTAGAATTTTATCAAAAAAAATATGTTTTACATATAAGAATTCCAAGAAATAAAATGTAAACTGACTGAGTTTTTTTAAAAAAAAAAGGTTTAAAAAGTATAATCTAAAATTTCGAATAAATTATGATTTTTAGGTTAATTCTAATCAGGCTTCATGTACCCATATTTCCATAGCTGGGGGAGAAAGATTTCACACATATGTTTAATGAGGCAAGACTAGTGTTGTTAAACGAATAGTTTTAAGCCGGTTTTTAAAAACGGCTAACTCGATATCTTAGCCATAATATTGCCTAACCCTCGAGGAGATTTCGCTAATAAATGTCAAAACCTTTGTTCCATCTACTAACAAAATCTTCAGGTTCAACACTAGACTAGACCATCGATTCCTAGAATTTGTTCTTGAGTTTCCAACTTCTTCCGACTTCAATATAGAAAATGGCCTCTTCCTTTGTATACGTTTAGAAAAATAATTTTCACATATCTTTTTTTAAAAAAAAATTCTAATATTTTTTTTAGCCATCTTGAATTGTGCTGGGATATATGTTTGGAAGATAATGGGTACAACGACACGAAAACGATCCTAAATGAATAAATTATTATTAACGAGGAAAGTAGGAAAAAACAACTTACCCCATTTTATACAATATCTTTTGACCAATTTAATAATTAAATCCAAGTATGAATATATATATATATATATATATTCATTTATTTTAAATTGTACATTAAATATGGAATGTGTAAACATTTTCGGGGTTAGGGGAGGGATATTTGAAAAAAAAATGAAAAAATAAATATATTCGAATATGATTGGTCAGATATATAATTTATCTTTGAATCGTATCCGACCTGCGCAGAAGGAACCATCATAAAATGTCAATTTTCATATGACTTTTATTAAAGTTTTATAAATAGATCCAATTATGGGATGGTTTCATTCACCAATTTTAAAGGGGGAGGTTTGTGGCAAGCGATTAAGTATGATGAAATATAAGGTTTTTATAATTTTATATAATCTTTTATGGTAGGCGGATGATAATTCCCCCAGGAAAAAAAAACTTATAATTTTTCTATGAGGAAAGGGGAAAGATTAATTTTGAGAGAAGCCACCAATAGAGTTAAACCCATCTAGGTGTAAGTAGAATTACAGTGTCAATTTCTATATGTATTTTCTCATCTGTTTTTGTTATTTTTTTTTAAAAAAAAAGAAGAAGTAATTGGGGATTTTTAAGAGGCATTTGATTGCTCTTATCCTAACCTTTCAGTGATTATATGTATCCTAAACCTTAAACTATAATAATACAAAATAAGTATATACAAAATATATTTTTTCTAAAATACATTTCCCGAACAATAATTCCACTTTTATTTCATCTAATAATATCACATATCTCAAAAACAAAAGAATAAAAATGTTATCATACATCTTATTCGAATCCATTGAAAAATGGTCCATAAATGTCAATTATCAACAAGATACAACAATATGGTATTCTAATCTAATCCTCGCACATTTTTAAAAATTAAAGTAAGAGCAAAGATATTTAATATTTAGCATGGTTTATTTGTGTTTAGATAACTTAAATAATTATAATTAATATATATATTTATGCAAAATTTGGTTTAGTTTACATAAGTACTGGATCAGCACAACCAGGCCTGTTAAGTTTTTAGCTTGCCCCCCCCCCCCCAAAAAAAAATATTTTGCACAAATTTCCTGGCTTTTTAACTTTCCCAGTTAAGCCCAATATTTTTTTTTAGCCCAGTCTGCAAGTCATGTTTTGGAGTATGAAGACTTCTAATAAATTTTTTGATCAACCCAAAAAAATGCTATGCTTTCAATTTGGGAAAAAAAACTGTGTTAATGTTACCAAGAAACAATACTTTTTTAAATTTATTTATGATTTTAATATACAATATCTGTATATAAAACTGTTATTAATGGATCAAATTTTAAAATATTTATTATGTTAATGAAGGTTTATAAGTTGTAAATATAAAAACACAAATTAATTTTGATTTCAAAATGTTTGGGGTATAAAATATAATACCCAGTCATTGAATCATCAAAAGGTGTAATAATACAATGTATAAACAAATAATTTTAGCCCATTTAATTTTAAAAAACAAATCAATAAATTAAATATAAAAACTGTTTTATGACAAACCATATTTTCGGTGGATAAATTCCATCTCAAATAATATGCGTGGATGTGTAAATGATTTACAGAAGCTGAAGCAAGCTGACTGTTATAAGCCATTCTTAAGGTACTAATGTTAAATAAAATTTATACTATAACTTTTTAAATATATTATATTATATAATTAACAAAATAATTATATATATCAGAGACCTACAGAGGTACCATTTGCATGGCCTAGCCTGTATTGGCCCTGCCAAAAATTTTTAAAAATATTTTTAGCCCGGCCCAGCAGATCAGTCCAGTTATTTTTATTCTAAAAAATTGAACTTGGCCTGGGTGCACAGACACAGACCATCATCTCTGTTATATATATATATACAATAAAGAATCCATTATACAAATATATTTGATATTTAAAAAAAATCTTAAATATTACATGTTATGACTTGACACCATAAATTTGAGACATAATTGTATTGCATCATATGTTAATATCTATACATTATAATAATATTAAAAGTATTGATATTAGTATTCTATAACATTTTATTAAAATATAAATCTAATAATTATTTGCAAAATTATTTTATAAAATAAAAATATTTATTACTTGTGGTAATTTGTCATATAGTTTAGGAACAAATAATATGTTGCCATATTCAAGTGGACTAGCATTAATTATTATATAATTTTCTTCATCTAACTTAGGTATACAAATCTATCAAATTAATTTTGTTACTAATTTAATACCTAAATCATCACCCTTTGTGTGAAGAAACTTGAACAACACCTAAAATAATATTATATTAAAAATGATTTATTTTAATTACTTCTTGAGGCTTTATTTTAGTAAAATTAAATTTATTATCATTAAAATTTTGATGCATATTTGGAAATGATTGTGGAGCTCTTCTTTCAAATGCCCGGTTACAATTCTTCTAAATCAAAAATTATTAATTAAGAAATTTATAATACCTGAATCACAAAATTGTAATTTCCAGTTATTACTTTAGTCTCTAAATACTCAATTGTATATCTAAAAACATTCAGCAATTTTGCATCCTCCCACAACTTTTGTATCAAATTGTCTAACTATATTAAATAAAAAAATTTAAATAAAGAGTTATATTAAATTTCTATAATACCTCACTATTAATTTGAGAAAATTCATCCCAAGATTCCACGTGCATTTTAGCTTTGCCATCTGAGTATTTATAAACATGAGTATTATCCATTCATTCATTAAATTATGCATCTTATAATACCATATGATTCGTGTTTTATGAATATATTTTTAAGAGATATTAATGATGATCCATAACCTATCTTAAATAATAGTATTAAAAAATATAATCCAATATGATAAACAGGCCAATATCGTATGTATCCAGGTTGGGAAAAAGGGGAAGCAATTTAATAATCCAAATTTACCTATAGGGGTTAAAAAGGCCATTGAAAAATTTTTAAACAAATCCCTTATCCAAATTAAACACATTATTTAATTACCTCCCAGCCTATCAATCTTTTTTTTTAAAAAAATATTTCAATCCTAAAATACTTTACGCCTTGAGATCCTCTCCCATCTTTAAATGCCACGACTTGCTCGTTTCCCATGAAATCCAAATTAAGGGTATCCTTGAAAATATATTAAACCTAAAATTTTCCAATTCATCCTGACTTCAGGCCACCCTTCCCAGCAAGTCCGGTGGCATTGGTATTCCTTCCCTCTCAGCCTTTATCTCATCCCGTGTTGCTGCTCAATCTATCATAGATAATGGATCCACTCCTTTAAATACTGACCTCTCGCAGGCCTTCACCTTTTGGGACAGCAACTGCCCACCCACTATTTGTCGTCCTGCTTCCAGCATTCATAAAGACTAGGATGCTCCTTTGATCGCCCGTAGCTCATGTTATAGCTAAAAACCATCCCCAGTTTCAATCTTGACCTCCTTTTGACTGGCGAACAGCTACGCAATTCCATAGCCCTCCGCCTTGGCTTTGATGCTGTGTTTCCCTCCATTTGCATCGACTGTGGCCATCATCGAAATCTTACCATCCCTTGCACTGCAAGTTCTTCCATGGACGACAACCGCGTCATAAATCTATTAACAACATTCTCTTAGCTGCGCTTAAAAAGGTTAATGTTCCATCCACCCTCGAACTAATGGGCCTCTCAAAAAATGCCATCCTCCCCAATGGCATATCTCTCATTCCCTGGACCAATGGTCTCCCACTTGCTTGGGCCTATACCTGTCTTCATATTGCGGCAAGTCCGACCTCTCATTTTCTGCCATCGAAGCCGAAATCCTGATAAAAACAAATATGCTTGCCTCACCAACACCGTGTTTATCCCAATCGTTACCAATACCCTAGGCATGTTCGGAAGTGATGCTCTCAATTCCATTAAAACAATAGGAAAAAAATGACAGATCTCAGAGGACCACAATGATGGATTTTACATTTGTCAGCAGATTTCCCTGGAAATCTGCCTGTCCAATTTTTTAAGCATTCACTCTTCTCTAGGGTAATATGTACCTCATTTTTTTAAAATAATATTTTTTTCTCTCAGTTCTCTTTTATATTAATAGATTTATACATAATTTTTTTTTTATTTGTTCCGAAAAGCCCTACCCCGAGATAAAAATTACTTGTCCGCCTAGCTCGAATTTATAAAAATATATTGTAAAGATTATCTTGTATTTAATTGAGTATTTCTATTAAAGATTATCTTTTATTTGATGAATAAGATTCACATATACATATACGTATCTCTATATATATATCTATGTATTATAATAATTGACATCATATCATTTCTTTAACGTCAAACGTCATCATCGTGAAACGTCATCACGACATATATAATATAGAAAAATTTGATTTTTTGATTGTAAAAAAAATATTATACAAATAAAAAATATTAACGCCTTGTTTCTTGTAAGAATTTTAATATATATCAATTTATTTGACAAAATAAATTCTCACATTTAAGCCCGACCGAAATTTTTTTGAAAAATATTAGCCCCGACCTAACCCGAAATTTTTAAAAAATATTAGCGCCAGCTTTAAAATTTCACACTTTCCTTATTTTGCTTATAACTCATTAACCTTTAATTCCTGCTGGTGTCTGGTTTGAATATCAATTAAGACTCTAAATATTGGCATAGGTTTTGTTAATGGATCTTGTTCCACTAACTTCACGGACCTGGTCGACCAAATCTAAACCGAAATTATTTTTTAAAATTTACAGATCTCTAGAATACATGTGCATAGTATATCACGAGCATTAAAATCATGGTTAGACAAAAAAGTTGCAAATAACGTTATTCTATAGGATAGTAGGGTACATAACATAGCGCTCTTGTAATTGTCCTATTTAAAAATGCAAAGGAGAGCTCCATTAACCATTCTACGACTGTTTTTATTTACTTTAAAAGCATTTTTTTTAAATGCCAGATTATATTGGTTAACGGAAAACAAGAAATCCAGTAGAACAGAGGGAATAAAATTCTTCATTTTAAATCTCATCGTCATTGAATTAATGATTTCGTTCTCTAATATCTTAAATCATTGCAACCAATGAAAAAGCACTCATTTATAGATATCATTTAACTTTCTCTTTACATTAGTTTACTAGATTAACCGAACGATTTTTTTATTTTCACTGTTGGACTCTATAAAAAGTTCTAATAGTGTCGAACGAAATCCATATAAATTCAGGATCCATCATTTGAAATCAAAATACAACATAAATATCCAATAAAATACTTATTCGTTTACATTACAAATGTTTACCTTCTTGTGCTTCTGCAGAACCGACTCTTCATTCTCGTTTTTAATCAAAATTCTTTCTTTGTTGGACTTTGCAATCGCATTTTTAGATTTCATTTATTCTTGGCGGTAACCGTCATACATTCTAAATTATGATAAAGCAATCGTTAAACTCTTTTAGCTAACATACAACTTAACCTTTACTTATAATTTTTCTTAGAATGAACCGTCAATAGTTTCAAGTAAGTGCCCAACCCTGATTAAAATTATAAACTAATTTTATAATGGAATTAAAATAATCTAAAGGTATGATCAAAATATAAGAATACGTTTACAAGCATTAAACTAAAATTCCAAAATAGTAAATGTAACTTTATTGTAGTAAAAAAAAAATGTTGCAATTATAATGAATAATATTGAATTGCGAATTGAATGTTATATATAATAGAATAACTATAATTTGATGTTTAAGATTATATAAAAAAAACGCACCGAGGTTTATATATAAAATATTTTGCCTATAAGATGGGGTTAAAGTCAACCATTAGTTTTATGAGCGGTTAGAAGTCTGAAAAAAAACGGCAAATGTGGGAATTATAAATTTAAATAAGCACAATTACGTTTGCAAAGGGTTTACACCTTTCATCATATAAATTTGAAATACAAATTAAATTATTGAATATATATCACATTTAAATTTAAAAATGTTTCAAAAATCCCATCAATTTTAGAGTATTTGCGGTGTATAATAAATGGGAAAAAAACCAAAATATTGGGAATTAAATTTAGAGTATTTGGGTTTAGTCTCATGCATTAATCATTGGCTTTATATATATTATATATCTAAAGTTTAAATAAATATATTCTTGTTTAAATACTATGATCGTGGAATATTAGGAAATATAAATATAGAAAGGAATATACGGTTCATAAGTAGTTAGCTATAAGATAAGGAAAGGGGATGGGGAGGGGGGGTTGGGTTGAATACACATTTATTTAAATGACTCTTAATACCAAATTCAATGTAAGCTTTTAATTTTTATACTCAGTATATATATATACATATATATATATTATTTACATTTCACTATAATATAATATAATATAATATAATAAATAAGAAAGCTAGATAATTGACTAGACAAAATTAAGGAAATTTAAAGGAATACCCAAAATTTAAAAAAAGGGAGGTGGTGGATGATGGTGTAATATTATAATACACTGAATAGTATAAGAGTATGAAATTATAATTGGTTATTTTATGAATTTTTTTTTGCTTTGAATGACTCCGAAAAGCATTGGTTAATTTCTTTTGTGATGATTTCCGTCTGGTTTTATGCTATAATTATTAAATGTTTCGGGGTTAGACGACTTTGAATGATGATTATCGGCTAAAAAAAGGGGTAAAAAAAATTATATTATATAAGAAAATGCAAGAAACAAGGAAGCATTTAAAAACTTAACTAATCTTTCTTTTGAAAGATTTTCTTGTGCTTGGCGATCTTCGATTAAATTAGGGTAAAGCTCAAACTTTCATATATATTTTTATTATTATAGAAAATGAGTCTTAAAAGGAATAATAAATTAAACTATATAAAAATAGCAAACTTGACATAATATTCATCAATAATAAAAATTTAATGTCAAAGATATTAGAAAATGAAAGTCGTGTGTTTCATTAGAAGAAAAAAAACTAGAATACAAATTTAAAAAATGATCATTTTTTAAATTTGGAGGTGAAACTCAGAGGTTACTACCCTGTATCGAGGCGCAGAGATTTAAAGATTCGATCCCAAGCTTGGGGACGAAAATTCTACTGAAACGAACTCTGAAGAAATAAAACTGGCAACGGGGTTAGAATTTAATTCACGTGGTTTGCTACTTAATCCATCGACATAATGCATATATAGATATTTATTTTAAATAAAATAATGTTACTGTTTTGATGAGGTTCGCTTTTAGGATCCCTTCCGGCTAATTTCGCCGCCTTTTCGCGAGCTAGGCGAGAGGCGACGGCGGCAACTAGGGCTGCACCCTTTCCGCTCCCGTCCTCGGATAGAATTAATTTGAACTATATATAAAAAAAGTTGTAAAAATTAGCTTTAACTTATCTTAAAAAATAAAATCAAGGGTTTGATAAAACTGTAAAATTAGGATTAATTAATAGTTAGTTGGCTAGATTAAAGTGCATATATATTTTTAAGATTTTGAGCCACCAGATAAAAAAAATGATAAATGATTACACATTTTTGGAAGGCAGGTGTCATTCGTTCACAAAGAAGAACAGTTTTAAAATTAATTTACAAATGCAGTCATAATTTAAAATCCAAAAAATAAAAAAATATATATTTCGGATTACATCAACATCTTTGACAAGTTTGCCAATCTTGTCCATCATAAGATTGTGGACTTTAGGGTGATACCTGTACAAGGAACCGTCAACTGCCACCGTGACTTTGGGTTTATGCATTTTAGTCAATATAGCCGCTACACCTTAAGAATTTTATTAAATTTAAATATAGTACATGGGAAAAATGTTCGAAGACCAATTATGACAAAGTCAATAATCTGGAAAGGAACAGAATCCAAAATTTTCATAAAAAATTCAGGATTTTCGACCATATGATCACCGGACGGGTAATAGTAACGGGCGAAGCATTTTAAATTATGAACTAGAATGATTTTCAATATTTTTATTATTATGGGAATAAGTGGTGTTGAATCACCTAACTTTGAACTCCAAAACAGTTTTGGTCAAATTTAATCCTAAAAAATAGTCCCAATCTTCGAGCTGAGATTAAACTTATGATTAAGTCACCTTTTTAGGACAAAAGATTGATTAAGTCCTACTTAGGCTAGACCAACTCAGGTGATTTAGTAAGACTAGTAGAGAAGGAGGTTTACTAATAAGCAATAAAAAGGGGGGATGTTCTAACGTAATATCCATTAATCGCCCCATTTTCTAACTTTTCAAAACGAAATTGTTTATTATTACGATTCAAGTCAAGCATCGAACCTATTTTTGGGTACGGTCCTTCCCGGAAAAATTTTTTTTGGATACTGACCAACTCCCATTTTCTTTGAGGGATCGAGTGATTGAAATTATGAAAACTTTGGAGTCCTTCCCGTACGCTGTTCACTATACTTACGAAAAAAATATTTAATATCAGCTTACCTGCTGACGCTAGGTAAGCGGCGCGAGAGGATACCAAAGTGCAGGCGTATTGAACGATAGCGCAATCTTCTTGAGAAACGTACTCTATGCCAATCTCATCTAGTACTTGACGTGTATTGGGGAAATCGTCGGACAAGTCACTATTCAATAAAATTTTTTTTTTTGTAATAATTTAGAGATTGACATCACGTGTTCATTGGTAGTACGGCTGATAGTTTTACCATATGTTTTGGTAGCCACAATTTACTACCTTTACGAGAGAGAGAATCAAGATGTCAATTATACCCCCCTCCTTCTTCCCCAAATTAGACCTCATCATATATATATATATATACACACTTTGTAAAATAAAAAATGAAGGTGCATAGCCCGTGGAAATTTTAAAGGTGGCTCCGGTGATTTTCTAATCCCAATGCTTAGCATTCTAATATTCAGAAGATTTAGCTTATACTCGTTTATTAGATTCTAACGATCATACCTACCCTCCCTCGCCCATCGCAAATTTGCCTGTTTTCGTAGATAACATTTTAAGCTAATAAATCCATTCCCCCTCCAAAAATGTATATAATATATTGGTGTAAGGAAGAATTTGAAAAAAAAAAATAGATAGTAATTAAAATTTTTAGGAAAATCTAATATAAATAAAGCTCTACAAATAAGTGGTCCTATAGACGCCCAGTAAAATTTCTGGCTAAAAATCCTTACTAATGATGCTCCTTCTCCACCTTAGCAAAGTCCTGGATACTCTCACGAATTCTTAGCATCGATCCGCGCTAGTGTTGTTAAAAAAAAACCCGGTTTGGGTCGATTTTAAAAAACGGCTCAATTAAGATCTTAGCCAAAATTATATTGTGTTAGACTCAAGATTTGGCATATATTGGCAAGTAGAAGCCCAAACCTTTCTTCCATCTATGAGTAAAATCACTTGGCTTGATAGAGATGCCAGTCTATACTCCCACGATTATAATTGAACTACTCCAAGCAACATTTAAAAAAAAATGTTTATTTTTTTACTAATAAAGAGTATTACTAATAAATAATTGTGTCGCAATTAAATTTATAATAATAGCGCTAGACAAATGCTGAACATTGGAATTTCTGTAATCCCTGATAACGCTAAAATAAAAAAATAAACTATATTCACAAATAAAAATTGCAACCTTTCAATTTCGGAAACGTATTTGGCGAAGAATTGGTTTCTGGTGTACAATTCATCGGAACCGTTGCCGTTAAAGAGGAGTCCCTTCTCACACAAATCGACCAGGGCTAGCCTGACCAATTCGCCCATGTAGAAACCGGATATCATTTTCTCGTATCTAGAAATATAAGAATAATCATCATAAAAGGGTTATGAACTCGAATTTGGGCTCAGAAATTTAAAACTATTTGGGTGAGCATTTTGAGACCACAGACTAAATAGAGACCGATTTATGGGCACCCCAACGAACCCGTGGTAATAAGTACACGTGGCGGGTTCGGATCACTTTTTAGAAAATCGGCTTTCATAATTTCAGCTACTGGTTTAAATATCGGCTACTAGTATCGATTAAAATTAAAAGTATCAGACGATACATATGGACCAACAGGGTCAGAATCGGTGTATCTCCAGATCTCATTAACTAATGAGGAAAAAAAAACAAATTTTTAATAAATTCTCTACGTTTCATAGAAATCTATTTTACTTTGAATCAACATTTAGCCCGAATTCGAGGCGAAGAATAAAAAGATACGGCTTATTTTGTACACGTCGCCGTTAAATTTTAACAATGAATATCAGGGTTGTTAACTATGAAAACTTTACTACACCCGAAAATAGGTCATTTTACAGGAGGTCTAGCAACGCAATTACATATCACCCATTTTCCAGTTGTAAAATATAAAAAGTATATTACATTTGTTTGCCAGGGTTTAGAGAGTTTTGATCGATATCGTAATCGTATTTGGTTCTCATGAAATCTAAGGCTCCGTCACTACCGAAAGCTCCCCACTCTGTATTGATGATTACCTGTTGAATAACCAAGTGATATAAATTGAAACATTTTATAATCGAGCAAAAAGTGGTCGTATGGTATTATAATACGTAAAACTGATGCAATTAGCTTTAATTGTATTTGTTAATTTCTAGGTTTCAGGTAAAAACCTTTCGTTTGCAGTTTCTGTCTTCGATGTAAATGCGATGCCCTAGGATCCTTGAAGAAGGTTACTCAAAAGGTCGTAACCCCCAGCATTGCAAAATTTCTAACACTATATCTTGAGCCTTAATGTCTCTGGAATTCCTTGAACCGACTGGACTTTGCACCCAGATTGTAAATGTCCTGATGGTTCATCCAAGATTCCATGAAGGAGTGGTAAGTTCATAATCTGGGATTTTTCCTGTTCATATCCACTCCAACCCTCACACCTAATCCATGATCGTTATTGTTGGCGCAGACAAAATACTCTTCTGTTTTACCTTCCAACCATTTATTCAAATTGTTACAAAGCTAAATTCCTATGGCACTCACGCCCTAATCCTCTTCAAGGATCTATGGCATATTAAATCGAAGACCGAAAATACAAATGAAAGGATTCTACCTTAGACTAAGGAATAGCAATTAATGTAATTAGTACTTACTAAATCAGTTTTATAAAATGAGGGGAGGGGTATATATATAAGGGTAGAACAATAAATATAGCGGATTATATATAGCCATACAATCCATAGAATGACTATATTTACTTATATATACCTACCTACCCACCCTTCGATAAAAACCCCCATTTTGGAGGGTCGTTAATTTACGGAAGTTTGCATAGAGTATAGAACGAAATATTAAACTTGTTTGGGTTCATCGTAATCGCTGTCCCACAATTCGACGTTTTCCAGTTTTTCCATATAACATGCATTACTTCCAGTTCCTTTAACCGACAAACGAATTAAATTTTTTTAATTTTTTAGATTAAGTCAAATTCTAAAATTAGTAAGAAAAACATGCATAATAATAAGAGTACATGTGCGGTGGCAAAGATCTTATATATTGATCAGTGATTAAAATGATGTCAAAGGTCCAAATAAAAATAGGATTCATATTAAAGCGATATTTAAAATATTCAAATCTTTAAAAATTTTTGGTAAGTAAGCTAAGCGTGTTAGTAAAAATATTAGAAAAGCTTATCATAAAATCACTGTATTTTTAAATTGGTTTTAAATAAAAAATAATAGTAATATTCATTAGTTGATTTTGGTAAATTCGTTTGATATTCAAATTTCCCCCTTCTATATTGTAAATATACACATAAAAAAAGGTTAACAAATTTATTTGTACAAAAAAACCAGTGAGGGATCGTTCAAAACGCCTTAGCCCAACTTACCCCGGATCAAATAAAGCCATCTTTTATTTAATTTTTTTTTCTATCCTTTTTTGATTGATTCATGTCATGCGAAAAACGGGTGCGAAAACAAAAAGAATAAAAACACCTCTAATTACCTAAGATCATACCGACATTGGTATTTTGGTCTAAAAATGCGCAAGACATCAAAGTGCCAGTCGTGTCGTTCAAAATGGCGATGGTGTCCATCTTTATGCCTGTTTTCTTTTAAATTTATTTATTTTATTTTTAGTTTAGTTATGTCTAAATATTAATTTTCCTTTTTTTTTTTATTTGTTCAAGTAAATTTAGGCCTAATATATAGTAATAAACGCTTTACGTTCGAGCGTGCGTTATTCAACGCGCAGCGTTTATTACAGCTGATTCAGTTTTTTTAAAAACACTAATTTTAGGTAAAGCTAAAATAAAAGGTATAATCATTTTATATATTTAAGACAAATCGTATTACATCTTTTTATCGAATTCTCTATTTATTTTGATAAATCGTATATAGAATTTTTTTTTTATATCAAAGCATCGCAACATATGTTTTTCAAATTTTATCTTATGCCAATTTTATTGGCCCAATTTTGGTAATAGCGCAACGCTTCGAACATAACGCGATTAAGAATAAATTAAGGCCTCGGGAAAAATTGGCAGTTCCTCGTAGAAAACATGTTTCCATCCAAATTGGCACCTGTCTCCAAGTCATAAGGATTTGTTTAAAAAAAATATTGTTGTGGTGAGTGAATATAATTTATTTCTAAGTGTTTTTGGGAATTGTAATGATTTGCATATTTATTGTTGCGAGGATTTATAAATAAGTATTTTGGGAATATACATTTAAATTTATTAGACGATTAATTTGAAAATTATGAATGCAAAAAATTGAAAGAGATTTTTGTGATTAATTTTTTTGTTATGATGCAAATGATATGTTCACAGGATATAATTTATGCGCGAAATTATTCAGAGATTTTTCCTTTTTCCTATTTATTTTTAACTTTTAATACTTAAATAATTGATCATTTATATTTTTATCTTTAACCTTAATTTAAATTTGATGGTAATAAATGAAAGAGTTTGATTTTTTAAAAGGTAATTAATTTTAAATATATAATTATGTTTTATTTATAAGGAAGAAAGTTATTTTTAAAAAAAATGTAGGTTGAATATAGGTTTTTATTTTTAGGTATGTGTATCAATGTTAAAGGCGGATACGTCATACGTATGATATACAGTATAATGTTAAAGGTAGCGACGTTATTTGTAATTAGTCGAAGCGTATTTTGGGACTTGGTAGATATTGTACGTTTAAATTATTATTTTTACGAAAAGATATTTAGCTTTTCACCGCAAGCTTTAAATACTTGTAAATAATCAGTATAGTCACTAGGGGGCGCGCAAAGGCTCGAGCCTCCCCCCTAATAAATTTAATTTTTTTTATACCACTTAAAAAAAGGTAATTTTGAAAAATAATTTTAAAAAATATTTTAAGCCCCCTGAGATTACGCTCCTGTATAATTAGAAATTTTATTTATATATATATATTCATAAAATGGTTAAAAATAAATAATGTGTATAATATAATATACGTTGCTATTGCGAAAAAAAATTAACCAATTTTTTAAGCGGATTTATATGTTATAAATCTTACAATTTTAAAATTACAAATTTTTTTTTTAGGGTATGTCATTTGTCATTGACATATGATAATATCTAGACTGAAGATGCATTCATTCATATTGCATTTTTAAGCGTCGTTGAAATGCGAATCAGCTGGGCCGGCCATTTTGGTAACCCGTATATTAATTATTACCATGTTAAAAAAACTACCATTAAATTGATAACTTGCTTCCTTTATTATCCCGATGATAAGGCAATTCCTTGATAAAGTTTGCGTCAGGCTTAAAATTTTTAATAATGATACGGTTAACCAAAATGGCGTCCCCAGCTGTTTTCATCCATACACGCTTTTAATGAATGCGTCGTCAGCCTAGGGTATTATTATATGTCATTGGCTTATTGCGCGCATAAAAAAATATTAGTTATTTCTATATTTTTACGGAGTAAACTGCTAACAAGTTTTAGCAAATCTTAAAGGGAAAGACAAAAAAAAAGGATTAATTATGTAAGGCTAAGTGATTAGTAGTTGATGTTATAACTTCAAGGCTCGGCATTTAAATGTTATTGTTCGCCGATCTAAAATGGTTATAATCCTCAAATTTAAATATTACTCTAATCTAAATCAAGAGTAAACGATCATTTAGAAAATTCAATTTGCTGCTACGAAGGAAGAAAAGCGTGAGTTACAATAACTTTACAGATTGAAAGATATTATTTTTTTTAGCAGAAAATTTAGTAACGCTAAAAAAATATATACATATATAAGAGAGAGCAGGTGAGACAGGCAACTTACTCACCAAGTATGATGCCGACAAGACTATAATAATCGGTAAAAGCGCAGGATATTAATGTTCCAACTGTGTCGTTCATAAGTGCCACTACAGTGGCCACTTTACCACAGGCCTAAAAAAGAAAAAAAAATTTTAAACGGGTAAATTTATTTGTTGCGATACTTTTTGAAATGGAATATCGTATTATGAAAAGAAATACGATATAGTTCGATGTGTGAAGTTATGATCTCTAACGGAAAACAAAAGATATTAAAGTTGGGGGCAAGAAAATACGGGGAAAAAAGATCAAGATCAGATAGTTTTAAAATATAATAAAAAGAATTATTTTAAAAAAATTACCGGATGTGTGATGAGAGACTTTTGTAGCAGATTAACCACGTCTTCTCCTACCACGCCTGGGCAGGTGAAGCCCTTCGTCCAAGAGATGAGCCTGGCCTTGGTGAGCCCTTCTTGCTTGCAGGGGAAGGAAAAGGTAAAACCCAGTGGCAAAGATTTCCCCTCTAAATTTTGTTCTTTCACGAAATCGGACAAGCAAGCCGCTATGTAGTCGAATAACTGTCAATATTTAAGTTACGTTTTATCGAGGCGTGAATTAAAAAGAACGCGCGTATTTAATATAATACAAGGTTTGGAAATTTATCGCGCCATTATTTTGAAAATATATATATCAACCATAACCCAATAATCTCTATGGAATTTTTTTAACCCAAACTCCAAGAGGATGAATTAGAGGCCTAGGATGGGCGGGTTTTCAGAAGAGTTGTTAAAGGATCTAGATACCTAGATATATTGGTATCTGTATCTAGATAAATTTTTCAACAAAATATCGGTATCTAGATATTATTTTATACGATGTACCTGTATCTAGATCCATTTAAAAAGTATTTTTTAACAACTCTGGTTTTCAGCCCACAACCCGCCCGCCTAATATTTTTAAAAAATTTAACCAGCCATCCCAACTCGCCCATGTATTTAAAAAAAATACGCGCCCGCTCATTGGGCAGGCTAAAAACCTGACCAATGAGGAACCTCTAGGCTGGATATCAGATAAATATTGTTCCTATCGATAATCGAAGAAACAAAGAAAAATTATTATTTTAAATTCCCCCATTTTTAGATAATCGAAAATAAAGGGATAAATTATAGATGTTACATCTGTTCCGGGTCCCGTCATCAGTTTTTTGGATATCATGTATATCTTGTTTTGCATGCTAACTTTGTTGCCCTCTAGCGTGATTCTCAATATCCGAAAATTAGTGCCCCCAAGATCCAGAGCTAAGAAATCGCCTTGTTCTGTTGGTACGCAAAAAAATCATTCAAATTTAAATCCTTTAATCAAAGATTTAAACCTAACCCTAACCCCAAAAGTTTAAGGAGTAGCAAACCACTGCAAAACCGATTTCAAGTTGGCAATTTATTCAAATGCTCGAAATAAGATGTTTTTTCGTAAAGTGGGCTTTTATTTGTATACATTTAAACCTAATATTAACCCATATCTCTATGGCCTTTTAAAGCTAAACCTTGACCTCAATGGGCCAGCTGGGGAGAACAAAAAACCGGTAATATGAAAGGGAAGGGGGGGGGGAGGTGGGGGTAAAAGAAAGTTTGGATTCTGCGGTAGATTATCTAAAATCTCGAAGGTAAAGCGTAGAGTCGTTGAGTAGATTTCCGAAAAACTATCGTCTAGGGCCTAGTGGACGTGAGCCTAATTTTTGACACCAATGAATGAAAAAGTAGAGGATGATAAGAAAAAATAATTGAAAAGCACCTGTCCCATCTGGCACGGCTCTAACGTACGAAGGGAACATTTTGATGGTAGCCGAGGCGTTGGTTTCCTTGCCCAGACCCTTGATGAATTCTGCTATTAGCATGTCACGGATTTTTTCGTAAGTGTCATGGCTGAGTCTTATTTTGGATAGAACTTTTTCTACCTTTATTTAATATAATTATATATATATATACGTAATCTGTTAGAATATCGTTTCATTTGAATGTGGATCGTTTAAAAAGTGGCATTTAAATTTTAACGCGTTATCTTTCAAAATAGCGTGTTCATATTAAATACGAATTAAAAGTAATAAAATTTCTTCTATCTTTATCGAAGTCCATTTTTTTTTAAATCTAAACAGCGTTGTTAAAGTATCAAGATACAAAAATGTCGTATCTGTATTTAGATACGCTTCCATAAAAGTATCCGTATCCAGATACATTTTAAACGATGTATGTCTATATCCATTTTTTTAAAAAAAGTATCTTTTAACAACTCTTCTCGACTAAAGGTATTATCCATACTATATCTTCTTTAATAAGAATGGAATAATTTAACTATTATATTCAATTACACTACTGTCAAATAAGTAAAGTTGGGTAATGGCTAAATCTTCGGTCACCAGTCTGAAGAACAGCTGTTAACATTAAGGCGCCATAATTTTATATCAGTTTATTCCAAATTGTAGAGCCGCTTTGTACGAAAAACTTAGAGACCTAAATAATTGTTTTCGGCTAAAAACTTGATTTAGCCGGCTAAAAAATTTAGACCCAACTAAATTTGTGAATTATATTTTCATGGGAAAAAAAAAGAATCACAACTTTAAATATTTAAATTAAAAACAACGCGTACTTCGTATGGGTAGATTGGATTGGCGCGAAATTTGAAGATTATTTATTGATTCCAAAAAATTTTTAACGTTTTTTTTGATTTGTGACATTTATGACATTTTCTAATATAATATTTTTCTTCTGTTATTGCACAAAGTCTGTGCAATCTAGCCCAGCATTGCTGTTACTTAAGGAAATGCTAAATATGTCCAGGCACTTTGGAACTTAAAGAAAGACTATATTTATTGTTTGATAATAATGTCATAGATTATATAACATTTAAAACAATGGTTGGCGGCAGACCACCACACTTATATAAATAAGTAGATACTAAAAAATCTAATAAAATAATCCCAAAAAAAATATTTGTGTAATCTCCCCCCCCCCTTCATCTGTTTCTAAAACAGAAACTATGCGCTTGCGTGTAATATAATTTAGGAGTAATTTAATAAGAGTGCCGTTTTTTGCCAGTGACTTCTTGAATTTTTCCAACATATTCTATTTCCTTCACTTTTAAGTTTGATATTATTTACCAGAAAATGTTATTCGAACTCTAGGGTCCTCTAAAAACGGGGGGGGGGGGGTGCATAGTAAGTATCCATTTTATTATGTTTTTTTATATTTCAGCCATCAGATGGGAAAGAGACATCGCCATTGGCTTAGGGTTCTAGAGGACTACGATTGGATCAACGAAATAAAGGGGAAATGTTAATTCCTCTAATAAACGAATTTTCGATTAATACTAGTTTTTCTTAGAACAAACCAAAATATCTCAGAATAAATTATAGTTTATCACCATAAAAAAAATGGCGAACAAGGCCTTTACTGTTCGTGGGCGACTGGTAGAATTTTTTCTTTAATGTGCCGGGTAACCTTGAATTTGTAATGGGGCGATTGCGGTCGCGATTTAACAGCTGATCGATTTTTAAATCTGTTTATGGGATCAATTTTAATAATATAAAGAAAAATTGATCTCATAAACAGATTTTAAAAAAACTTTCAGCTGTTAAATCGAAGGTAATATCAGGAAATTGTGGAATTATTAAAAAATTTAACCCATTTTTAGCGTATTTTTTTGGTCTGTTAAAGACTTGGAATTTTAAGGGATTAGTATTCCAACATGTGCACAGTTATTCTTACACTAAGAACTCCAGATTTTTTTAAGGCAAAATTTTGTGACACATGAGTCCGGAATTGCTTTCTTTCTAAGAAAAAAAGGGTCTACTAAAGACCTAAAAAGATCGAAAGATAGAAACGGGGTTAAGATCTAAAGACCTAAAATAAAATCATGTGACCCATAAAAATGGATTATAATTTATTTCTAAAAAAACAAATTTATATATTTTCCATTTTTGGGTAATCAACTCAAAATTATATCCATTCAACCCCGGTTCGAGCGGTGTTTCTGATACGGGGGTCGTGTGGGACCTCCTTACCTATTAGAAATTGAATAAATGTTTAAACCTCTTCTCGCCTTCTGCGCAAATCTTCGGGTCGAAGCGATTGGTAAAATATAAAGCTCTTCCCGAATTTGGAATCCGAATTCATTGGAATTTGTTTTATTTAAGATGATTTTAATGAATATTGAACAATCTGTTTTCTAGAAAATTTGGCGAATATCGCTTCATCTTTTTAGCCATCATTTGACAGAAATGAATAAATGATGATGAAGAAGAATAGGAAGTGAATTTTCCAATATTTTATAATCATAAAAAACGTCAGAAAAAGGGGGAATGGATTGAATAATGAGTGAAGGTTATTTAAGGGTGAAATTATCGCTTTATTTTTATCGTTTATATTTTAACCCGGGTTTAATGAATCAAAATATTAATTTTTTTTCAAAAAACAAATTATTTTCTTAAATTAAAATTTTAATTAATTAACCGAAGGGTGGTTGTAAAATAAAATGAAATATTTAAAAAGATAAATGCCCGTGAAAATCAAAACAAAAATAATATTTAAATAATTATTTACGACGACAAAAAAATAAATAAAATAAACAAAATAACAATCAGCTGTAAACAATATTTATGTATTTTTTTTTTTAGTTTTATATCGATCGATTATTAATCAATCAATTTTTAGAAATCAATAAAATGATCGGAAATGATAAAAAAATAATAATTTGTCAATAATTATAAAAAATATTGATTATTAATTGAATTAATTATAAAAATCATATGGTAATTTGATATGTATATTAATTTTTTCGAATTTTTATATAAAGCAAATAAAGAAACCCCAATTCCCCCGCCGTTTAGAACCTAATGAGCGCAATGTAATCCATATAGTCAGTCTCAGGTAGTTGGAAGAAGTAAAAAAAAACATGATTAAAAATGAAATCACAAATGTTTTTATTCTTTTAGACTTTTACTGTAATTGCTGTTTTTTTTTAGTAATTTCTACTTCCTAATTTACGGCGAACAAAAACCTGAAGAACAATATTTGCTCCGTGAAAATTTTTGTCAACGCCTCTGAAATTATAAAAGTATATCTCGCAAGAGTTCTAACAAGACTCTAATTTCGCTCCAACCCTAACTTTCCACCCTATGAATATCAGAACATTTTACCGCGTAAAAAAACGCTGGTTTATATTAAACTTCTTGGACATATATTTCTAAAGGTATGCACAAAATACAGCATTATTAGTTTCAGTAACAAGAATAATGAATTGAGTTAAGGTAGAATGTATACGATTATAAAGTCGAGTCAGAAGTAAATATGCCCAAAAAAAATGAAATTTGAATTTGAATTATATATAAATTATCTAAAAAGAAATGTAATATGTTTTTATTGAATGAAATATAAAATGCTAGACAGACATTTATACCATGTGAGAGGGAAGTGTGAGAAGTGGGAAAGGGGGGGGGGGGTCATTGGTTAGTAGGAAGGGGATAGAAGTGCCTGATGCTAGATAGAAATCGTTCAAACAAAATATAGAGAAAATTAACAGTATGTAACGAAAAAAAAAATAAGGAAACGAATGAATGATTGGAATATAAGGGGGTATGATGACCGATGATCCGGGGCAAATGGACCCTGATTACGACTAATAATGAGTGGCTGAGAATGATAAAGAAAACAAACGCTAATAATAAATGTAGCCTTTTGTCATCTTGAAATAACAAAATGGAGAAATAGGAAAGCAGAGAGGATCTTGTAGTAAGAAATGATAAAAACAAACGAGGTAAAGAAAGTGGGGGGGGGGGGTGCAAAACCTTCTTAAAATGAGCAAAATCTTATGCCAGCACAGATTGCGATAAGTTAAATTAGAAAAATTATATATTGATTTCTTACATTTTTAAAATAATTTAATGGGATAATTTATTCAACAGTCTACGAACCAGACACAGACGATTTTTTTCTTTTTAAAAAGATAAATTTTTATTATTTTTTTAATTTCCTTTTTATCGATTGTTATATTAATAATCACCAAAAAAAAATGGTCGATATAACAAGCACTTCCTTTTTTTTTTTAAAAAAAAAAAAATTTAACTTTGAAATGTCATCCAAAAAAAATTATTCGGGTTTACGCCCAAACAGATGTTTTGGCTTTTAGAATCTGACACGGTTCCTATGTCGGGATTCCGATTTTCCGGTTATGACGGAGAACTTCCGCCATAACAGATGTTCTGGTTTTTAGAATCTGGCACGGTCCCTATGTCCGGGTTCCTATTTTCCGGTTATGGCGGGAAACTAAAAAAAATATCAGGGTTTACGCCCAAACAGATGTTCTGGTTTTTAGAATCTGACACGGTCCCTATGTCGGGATTCCGATTTTCCGGTTATGACGGAGAACTTCCGCCATAACAGATGTTCTGGTTTTTAGAATCTGACACGGTCCCTATGTCCGGGTTCCTATTTTCCGGTTATGGCGGGAAACTAAAAAAAATATCAGGGTTTACGCCCAAACAGATGTTCTGGTTTTTAGAATCTGACACGGTCCCTACGTCCGGGTTCCTATTTTCCGGTTATGGCGTGGAACTAAAAATAAAATATTCGGGGTTACGACCAAACAGATGATATATGCAAGTAGAGTTGTATTATTTACTATATATAATAATGAGTCATAGGTAAAGGAGACAAAAAATAAAATAAAAAAATGTAGAGGGTGTGTCAATTTTATCCCAATATTTCGATGACATATAATAATACCTAGACTGAAGATGGATGAATTTATTAAAAGTGTACATCAATGAAAACAGTTGGGGACGCCATTTTGGTTACCCATATCATTATTAAATTTTATAAACGAGAGGCCAATTTATTCCTATGTCTGACGCAATCTTTATTAATTACTAATAAGGAAGCAAGTTATGACTTTAATAGTAGT